CGATACTCCTCACCCATCTTAAGCATTCCCAGCACTCGGCAAGCCAGAAGAAATCCAGTGCAATAAGCTGCAACATAATTTGTGAGGCCAACTTCAAGTCCATAATGAAAAAGTCCATGTCTAAGCTCGGCCAATTTGATTCTACTCATTCGAAGAGCTAAGATTATTTTGTAAAAGATCTCTACATCAAATTAACGTAGACCTAGGCCAGCTCAGACACGAACATCTTGATCCTAGCCAAGGCAGAGCTAAGTCACATAGGCTTTGCCCTTGGAGGTTAGACTTGTTGAGGCCTAGTTTCCTTCAAAGTTCTCATAAGTACAGCAGCATGGCCTCCAAAGAGGTACTCCAGTCATCAAGCTGCCTACTCCCTTTGCCAAATCCAGCAAACCTCCCGCCACTACGAGAAATTTCAAACACTCAATACCTTCATGAGGGCACCAAACATCAAGGAAGAACCCTCCAAAAGTCAAATTTTAATGATCCATATCCCATCAGCTCTATGAAAGCTTTTGGCAAGTCTGCTTTTAGAAAAACCAAGTCATCTTTGCATGAGATCTCAATACTTCAATTAACCTCCCAGCTTCTCCAAGCTAAACGATTTTGCTTTAAGGAGAACTGAGTACTCCTCAAGGCAAAAGGGGCAAGGGGAATATAACAGCAAGTGCAACAACTCAAAAGCAATTATAACAATAGTTCAAAAAATTCTATGAATCAGACGTGCATTCCAAAAACTGAGGTTACAATTCGAAGTAAAGTTGCATTCCAATTTTATTTTTTTTCAAAGTCCTAAGTTTCTGAAGAAAGAGTAAGTGAAGGGTTCTACAGTCCAGTAGCTGAGGCCTCAGCAACAAGAGTAGGAGAAGAGCCTAGCAGCTCAGCAACTAATGCTCCTGGTAGCTCAGTAGGTGAAGTATCTAGCAAGTCAGCGGTCGAAGCATCTATAAGCCCTGAGGTAGACAAGGGAGGAGTAAAATCAAAAACCCCCAAAGTAGGGACCTCTATTCCAACTGCTGGTGAATTCAAGGCTAAAGCTTCAGTTACAAGATCAGCAGAAAAGGGGCAATAGCAGGAATGACATAGGAAGTAGTAGGGAGCCCAACAGTAAAAGAGATATCTGAAGGAGTTGGGACGTCACCTTCACCCTCCGTGCGGGCCACCTTTGTTCTTTCCTTAGTAGGGACGTCGAAGTTGAAGTTCAGATCGTGATAAGTTTCCTCAGCTTTGTCCTAAAAAACAAGCCACCCGGAGGCCCACTTGGTAGAAACATCATCCCTAAACTTAATAATAGCCTCATCCTTCTTGGTTGCGACAGCTTTTAGCTTTTCAAGCTCACTGTGTAACATTCACCTAAAAAAGAATGACGTACTCCTTTCTTAGGCTCTCGAGGGAGCTCTATGTAGCAAAAGCTTCCTGGCTGGCATTGACCTAGGCTTTGGTTTTAATTTTCAGCTCCTCCTTGGCCATTCTTAGCTCATCCCTAGCTTTCTTTTCTCCTTCCTCAGCTGTATCTTTTGCAGCCTGTAAGCCCTTGAAGGTAAAAGCCTGCCTCTCCATTTTCTCTTGAAGGTCTTGCACTTGAGCTCAGAGGTTATCATTGTCAAAAGATAATTTGGCGACCTTAATCTCATATGCCTTCATAGCTTTGACAGAGTTCTTCGAAGATTGGATCCTAATCATCAAGCTCTTCACACGGATAGTCGACTAAGGACAGAAAGGAAAGCAAGTGAAGGTTAGCATGAAGTTACAACATAAGGATTAATGAGAGCACAAAAGTGCAGGGACTTATAGTAGCTGCTCCTTGGAGAGTTAAGCATATAGACGCCTCAAGAGACATGGAAGAGGACCTTTGAACGTCAAAATCTAGGAGAATAAAGGAAATGGCCCCAGCAAAAAGTTTGGCATTGTCGAGGAAGGAACCTTTGCTTTTCTACACTTTAGGATGCTCACCTTCCTCAAATTTGGACCTCCCAGAAAAGGGCAAGGGAGATTTCTCAGAATACCCAGGAGAATTGAAAGAGGTTAAAACATGGGTGGTCATTTTCAAGGCCCTTTCGACCTCAGAAGAGGAAGGGAGGTCTGACCTCGTCCAAGAACATCCGCAAGGGCAAACAAGGCACCCCGGGAAGAAGGATCATCTGTAATTGGAGAGGAGGAGGTAGACTGAACAACTTTAAGATGAGTTAGAGTAGGAGGAGCCATGGGCATGCTCGTATTTGGTACCTTGGGTGGGGGAGTGGACCCGTTGCCAGAACTAGGCTTAGTCTTACGTTTGCTACCACTCTTGGTCATCCTTAATTGGGAAATTTTAGCTTGGAGCTCTACTGGGGTAGGCTCCATCGAGGAAGAACCTGGAAGACTTAATATGAGCAGGCTAAAAAAAAAGGGAGCTAAAAATGAGGGAATTGATGGAGAAAGCATCATCTGCTACCTCTTCAGCTCTAATGATGGAGATTGGGGTCGAGGCTTCTATTACTACCTTTGGGAGGCTGAACCCTTGCTCTATAAGAACCCAAGGCTTGATGAGGTCAGAATATTTTTCTGAGGCACACTTCTCCAATTTCAGTAGCACCCGCTCGTCCTCAGCATTGAGCTCAGGTCGAACACCTGAGAAAAAACGTAAAGTAGAGCAAAGTCAATAAGGGTCACCAAATCCAATCTTAGTCAGCTTGAGCAAGGACTTACCCAGGTTATCAGAGGCAAACCAGGCTCTAGGGATTGGAAGAATGTCTGTCTCATTTGCCAGATTGTACTCCCACTGTACGCCCCACACGTTGAAGAAAAGTTTTTTTCAGTCCTTGTGGGAGCTCGGGAGGTCAGAGATAATCAATTTGGCCTTTGTTCATTTGGAGATATACAAAAAACCCTCGAAGGAAGTATGCTTAATGTTAAAAAGTTCCATGAGTAAGGAAAATGGTTGGAACCCCAAGCATATGATTCTTAAAGAAAACGAGGAAACCTACCAGGACACCCCAGAAGTTAGGAGAGAGATGGGAAGGGCAAACGTTGAAATGTTGTAGAACACTCTAGATGAAAGGATGTAAAGGAAAGTGCAAACCATTCTCAAAGGCACCCACAAAGAAGCAAACCTTTTTATGAACCTGGGTGACATATGGGGTGAATTTTTTTGGACACTTGTACTGGACTCCTGGAGGAAAACCGAAGTGAGCACTAAGAACCCTCATAAGAGAAGGGGTGACCTCACTAGGGCCTATGAGCTCTGTATTTCGAAGAGCAGCCCCAATGCCCACGACAGAGACTCCCATGCCACTTAGCTTGCCTTTAGCTTTGTTAGGATTTGTGGGCATAGGAGAGGACGTTGAGGGAGGTTCCTCAGTATTTACCTCAGCAGCGATAGAATCAACGGCAAGGAAAGTGTCAATTTCCTCACCCACATCACCTAAATTGGGATCTTCCTTAACAGACCTATCCCCCGGGAGGGAGACAGAGGAGGGGGTAGCCCCAGAAGAACCAGACATAGTTGGAAAAGAAAAAGAGAGTCTAAAGGTACGATAAAGGGGAGGAATATTTGCGGAATACTCTCTAAGAGTTTGGGGGGCAACAAAAAAATTGTCAATAAGGAAAACCCTAGTAGTTGAATAAGGGTCTAAGAAGAGGGGAAAACAAGACAGAGATTGACCTCGGTTCCTAAAATAACAGAACCGAAAAGTCCAAAAATACAGAAACCACCTCAGACTTGAGGGGTCCAAAACGAGAAGATGAACAAAGGATAATAAACATACCTAAATGAGGATGAACAATGGGCCAAGGCTCGAAATGAAGGCGAGTAGCGAACTTCGTTGAAGCCACGAGCTAAATTAGGGAAGACAGATTTTCTGCGAAACCCTAAGAACGCTGATAGGATCAGAAGCTTGAGATCGCAGGAAGAGGAAAGAGTAAAGTTTAAAGAGGGGATTTGGAGAAAGAAGTGAGTCATTTCCCCTTGGCACAGAGACATTTAAAGCCTTTGGTACGTTGGTCTTGAAAGTGGAGAACGTGCGCGAGAATTGAGGAGGACATGATTGCTGGAAACTGCCAAAGAGAAACTTTTTGGATGCATAAATCGAGGTCGTCGTGTGGCCTAGACCAGTCTTAGAGTAGCTCAGCCCTTGCCCAAGCCAGCTTGACCAAGAGCTGGGGGACAACTGATGATACCTAGAATAATTTTCAAGTATGAGCTCAGGCACGGAGGTCAGACAAGATACGTAGAGCTTAAAGGACTAGAGCTAGAGCTCCCTCTAGACGAGGCAATAAAGGAAATGATAAGGGAATATTTGGATGTTAACAAGAATCCTACAAATGGCAAACAGTCATATTCAAGGCGCAAAACCCTCAACCAACCAAGATACTCTCCAAAAATTAAGGAGGAATCCACGGATGAAAGGCTAGGATCTCGGCAATGATCCCTTAGAACAAGGAGTAGCTCTATAAATACTGTATAACTCCTCCATTGAAGGAGAGAGAAAAAAAAAGAAAGAACCCCTAGTTGCATAAAAGGCATACTGTAAACTCCTTTCCCCAATATAAAAACGAAATGAGCAAGAGCCTCCATTAAAGAGTAGATTAGCCGAGCTCCCGAGCTGATGAACCACTATATCTTCATTGTGTAAATTACCCCAATCCCTTAGCGAAACTTCTCACGATCATTGTGACCCTTGTGGCTCAGATCCAAGCTGCCAAGCATAATTCATACCTTATGCTCATCCAGGTTAATTTACACCATCACATTTCAATGAGCTATAGAGTTTAGATGTAATAGAAGTCTAAATCGCCCTGTCCTTAAAGATTTTCCTAGTTGTTCAATCATCTTTCAATCCCATGTATGGTTAGAGAGTTTTATTTAGAAACCTTTCTTTCTTGAAGGTCAAAGTTATTTATCTACTTATAATCCTTTACTCGATTTAAATTCCCATCTTGCATGTCCTAGTTAGGCTCCAAATTCACTCACCACTCAAACACAGTCCCTTGTTGTGACAGCAAACCTGTACATTGAAAGAAAAATGAACCACAATTTTACAAATGATCCTATTTTTCCAAATGATTCCCATCATGATGTGTTTTCGGAGGAGGAAGCTTTGAGGGATTGTGACTACTTTGATGAGGTCCTCAAATACATAAATCAAATGCAAATGGAAGAGGATGACTTGGAGAATAAACCTTGCATGTTCCAAGACTACTCTGCTCTCCATGCTACTGAGAAATCCTTCCACGATGTCCTTGGTCAGAATTACCTTCTGCAGCCTCCATTCAAACAATACTCTTCATTCCTTGATCAAAATGCTAACAACCCCAATGGTAATTTCACTAGGACTTTCACTAGTTGTCACTCTAGTACTAGCTTTATTGTTGTTAGCACCTTTGTTAAGCCTAATTGGATTATTGATCAGTGCGTGGTTGAACCAGGTTTTGGACAATCTTCTCTTCTTGACCACAACTTCCAGTCTAATTTGCAATCTTCTTGTTCTTCAAACAACTTCTGTGATGTTGTTGATGGGTAATGGGACTCTCATATGACTCCATTTCAGGTTTTAGATTCAGCCATTGACACCCAATTTGCCTCGTAGATACAGTCCATGGGAGAGGAAGAAAGAGTTGACCATTCATTTCTAATTAATGATTTTGTGAATTATGGCTTTGAGGAATATTTGCAAAACATGTCAACTTGCAAGAAAAATCATTACCGGGAAGTTAATGATTACATAGAAGAGGAGCCAATTAACAAACTGTTGGCGGGTTATGCTGAAGAGAGTGAGCAACCAAAGATGTTTGGTAAGGTTTTGCTTTGTCCTACAGAAATCCTAGTTTGCAAGATGATCAATCTGCAAAAAATGGAGCGAGGAACAACTTGGAGTAGAATATTGGGAAGTCACCAGGATCAAAATGGAGCCGAAGCCAAAAGGCACGAGGTAGCAATAGAAGAGAATTGGCGGATTTGAGGGGTCTCCTAACTCAGTGTTCTCAAGCTGTGGCAAGTTTCGATAGCAGGATCGCTAACGAACTGCTGAAGCGGATTAGGGAGTATTCTTTGTCTTACGGTAATGGTACTCAGACGATGGCACATTATTTTTTGAATGCCCTCGAGGCACGCTTGGCTGGAACTGGGACAACATTGTATGTAGCTTTGAGTACCAGGAGAACATCAGCTGCTGAAATGTTGAAAGCTTACCAGGCCTATGTAACAGCATGCCCATTCCATCCAATGTCGAACACTTTTGAAAACAAATCAATTGGGAACGTATCTAGTGGAGTGGCAAGGCTTCATATAGTTGATTTTGGTATTTTGTATGTCTTTCAATGGCCTTGCATTATCCAGGGTCTCTCTTATCACTCTGGTGGGCCTCCAAAGCTTCGAATTACAGGTATAGACTTTCCCTAATCGAGGTTTTGGCTAGCACAGAGGGTTGAGGAGACAGGACATCCCCTAGCAAATTATTGTAAGCGATACAACATTCCCTTTGAGTACAATGTACTTGCAAAGAAATGAGAAACAATCCAACATGAGGATATTAAATTGATAGAGATGAAATGCTTATTGTTAACTTTCTGTACCAGCTAAGGAATGTGCTTGATGAAATGGTATTGGATAACAGTCCAAGAGATGCTGTTCTGAATTTGATCAAGAGGTTGAACCCTGCTATGTTCATGCATGGAGTTGTAAATGGGACTTATAGTGGCCCTTTTTTTGGTCCACGATTCTGAGAGGCACTCCACCATTTCTCTGCACTGTTTGATATGTTTGAGGCAAACTTGCCACGAGAAGGTGAGGAGAGATTGCTATTTGAGAGAGAGGTTATTGGAAGGGAAGCTATGAATGTGATAGCATGTGAGGTTACTGAGAGGGTTGAGAGGCCAGAGACATACAAGCAGTGGCAAGTTCGAAATCAGAGGGTTGTGTTTAGGCAGCTCCTACTGAAGCAGGACATCATGGAGGAGGTAAGGACTAAGAAGCGGAGCTATCAGAAGGATTTTGTGGTAGGTGAAGATGGCAACTGGATGTTGCAGGATTGGAAGGGGAGGATTATTTATGCTCTCTCCTGTTGGAAGTCCGATCAGTACAAACAATAGGTTTGTAATCCTTTGCTGCTTGAGTTTGATGGGAAATGTTATTATATTACTTGTTTTAATATTATATTGGAAGTTTTGTTTTTCTCAAATTAAATTAGGATTCAAATGTATCAAATTATAACTTAGTACAATCAAAAGATCGATTGCTTAGGATTTATCTCTAATATTTAGTGATGATACCCAAAATATGGCTAAGGTTGAACTTAGGCGCTCAGCTTGGCATCTCTGCTGGGCCGATCCAACTGTATTAAAATATAAGCATGGGCTTTAAGCCCCAAGTTTTTAAAAGTCTCATAATTTTAGGTACATAACTAGTCCACATAAAACATTTAAATTCATGAAAATCTTCTGTCTTACAAAAAGGCCCCAAAAAATTGAAGCCTAATTAAAAAATTATAATCTCAATAATTTGGTCCTACAATTCAATCTATAACATTAGAAACTCAAAAATAAAAAATTTTTAAAAAAAAATAAAAAATATTCAATAATCAACTAATATTTACTCACATCCATTCTCTCTCTCTCTTAAAAACCAAAAACAAAAACAAAAACAAAGTATCACATCCTCCTCTCTCACTTAAAAAAAATTAAAAATTGTTTTTGGTTTTTCATAAGTAATACTAAAAATAAAAAAGTCTCATTTAATATTACCGTTTTAGGCTTCAAATTACCTTGAACCGCCCTTGCATGTCTGGAATCGTGCACCTCATGGCGAGTTGCCAGAGGTGCTCAAGTTAGTTTTCCCTGACGACAATGCCACCTAGCTAACAACAAGGATGACAATTGGTAATCACAAAAGTGTAATGCATAAATCACAACGACTTTATGTTTGGGCAAGAGAACTGCAACCACTGAGGCACCCCCCATGGAGACTGCATAACAAAGGCGTCCGTTACAGAAAAGAGACAAGAATCATGCCGAAAAAGCAGAAAAAGCCCTGGGAGACTATAAATAAGGGGAATATCCCTCACAACGAAGGACAAGCAACTAGAGTAAGCAAATATTTTGTGTAATCCTCCCTTTTATGAATAAACTCTTCCCTAGGAGCAAGAAACTCCCTTGAGAGTGGATTAGCCGAGCTCCTAAGCTGGTGAACCCGTATAAACTCCCCGTTTGCAATCCTCCATCATGCTTGATCAATCCTGAAGAGCCTAGGAGTTCTAACTGGACCATCTAGTGATTCCATGACCATTGTGAACTATAAACCTGTTCAATTGTGCAACACGCACAATGGCCATTTCAACAATGGGAGTTGGATATACTCGAACCCCTCCTAGTAAGCATTGGACAATTTAAGTTCACAATAATTAGGGTAGATCACTTCTTTAAATGGGCCGATGTGGAATCTCTTTCAAAAATTACAGAGCAAAAAATCCAAAACTTCACTTAGAAATCTATAATATGCAGATTTGGGGTCCCAAGGGCACTCGTCTTGGATAATGAAAAATAGTTCGATAAGTCTAGGTTCAAAAGATTATGTGTTGAGTTGAGTATAAAGAATTACTTCTTGACACCAGCCCACCCTTAGTCAAATAGGCAAGCAAAGGTGACCATCTAAACTATCAACGTAGCTCTGAAAACCAAGCTTGAAGCCTTAAAGAACTGATGGGTGGAGCATTTACCAAGAGTACTATAGGCCTACAGAACCACCGCCATAACAGTCACTAATGAAACTACCTTGGCTTATGGTACTGCGACGTTGGCCCCTGTTGAAATTAGCATTCCATCCCCAAGAACAAATCTTGTCAATCCTGAGCAAAATGACAAGTCAATACTCATCAATCTTGACTTCTTAGATGAGAAGAGTAACAATGCCATGCAGCGCACCATCAACTATCAGTGAAAGATAGAATGGTACTACAACAGGAGGGTTAGGCGTAAGAGTTTCAAGGTGGAAGACCTAGTCCTCGAGAAGCAACTCCCATCCGAGAAAAGACTCATCTCATGGAAAGATAGGGCCCAACTGGGAAGGCCCATACATCGTGACCAGAATAGTCAAAACAGGGAATTATGAGCTGCAAACTGAGGAAGGAAAAGCTTTGCCTTACTCATGAAATGTTGATCACCTGAAGAAATTCTATCAATAGTTGAGAAAAACTAAAAATTCTATTTTTGAAAAATTTGTTGCAATAAATGAGAAGTTTGAGGTCAATTGTCATTCTTCAACTAAAAGATGAGCATTTTAACTCATAAATTAAAGATGAGCTTCTCAGTTTGTAACAAAAGATGAGCTCTTTAGTTCACAAATTAAAGATGAGCTTTTTAGCTAATAACAAAGATGAGCTCTTTAGGTCATAAACAAAAGATGAGTTGGTGGTGATAACAGAGCTCACACTTGAGCATTTTTAGCAAACAAAGATGCTCCCAAAAAATCAAAACTCTCCTCAAAGAAGGGGGTGAAAGGAGAAAAATGACACATAAATATCAAAAGCAAGATATGCTAAAAAGTCACTTTTTCATTAACTTTTTTCCAAAGTTTGATATGCAAGTTAACTTTCTTGCAAAATTACAAACTATAGAAAGACCTAAGTATCCGCTATGGTTCCCACTATCTCTTCAACACCTCGAGGTAGCTTAGTAGCATCATCAGTTGAGATAGGGAGATTGCCAGGAAAAGAAGGTTCAAGGGCCTTATCTCCAGCAGAAATAGTGGGGGGCATCTAGGGTAGCCTCAGACACGTTCACCTCTGTAGGGACATTTGTCTCGGAAGAAGCTGACAAGGTGGGACAGACTTAGAAATCTTGATCTCAGCCTCAAAAGGAACGAACTCAAATGCCCCGACCTTGGCTTCAATAGGCAACCTTAGGATCCTCAACCTCAGCCTGTTCCCCACAGCTAATCCTCATTCCCCTCCTTGTTCAACAAAGGTTCGAAGTCAAAATCTAGCTCAGGATACTTCTCCATAGCTTGCACTTGAAAAGTAAAATAGCCCTTGAACCAGGCCATGACACACTTGTCCTTAAGCTCATCAATCTTGGTGTCCCTTTCAGGCACCTTGGCCCTCTCGTCCTCAATCTCCTTCAGAAAAACTGTGTTGACTTCAATAAGGTCCTTATAGTCGCTCTTCACTACCTGAACACCCTCACGAGCCTTGAAGATTTCCTTCCGTGCTTAAACCGGGCCATCTATCTTGAGCTTCACCTCATCACTCTTCTTATTAACCCCAACTTCAAGGTTCTTATGCACTGAGCTCAGACCCTGATCAAAGCCCTTAGGTCTTGCACCTGATATCTCAGATCGTCATTGGCGAAAGTCAGTTTAGCGACCTTAACCTTGGAGACCTTTAGGGATTTTTGGGCCACCCCTACAACCTTTTCTGAGGCTCGAATCCTGCCCACTGGCCTCCCACATGGTTTTCCATCTGCAAAACAAGACCATAAATCAGCAAGATCAAATAATAAAACACACGAGCACAGAATCAAAGATGAAAGCCTTAAACTCATCAAAACAGCCCCATAAAGGGCAATGGTAGATGAGGTGGATAGAGGCATTGAAGAGGCCTCCTAGATATCTGCCTCGAGAATAACAAAAATATGCTTATGGGCAACCAGGTTTATATCCCTGATAAGGGAAACCCCCTCTAGGCTAGCCCAATTTGAAGAACCCTTTGTTAAGACCATCGGAAGGGAAGCCTCACCAGTAGGTTTCGATGGAGGAAGACCCCGTAAAGATGGAGCTAGTTTCAAGAAGGCCTCCAAACGAATCTAGGCACTTGCCAAGAAAACCCAAGGCTGTCAAGATAAAGGAGAAGATGAAATCACGAAGGAGACAGAAAGAGAGAAGAAGCGTTTGAGGAAAAACAATAAAAGAATTCGAAATGATGGAAAAAGGCGGTTTAGCCTACGGATACATTTAAGACGTGTGTACGAATGGACATATGGAACCATAAATGATGAACATGCATGGGAAACGAGGCAGAAATAACTCCTCACATGCTTGCAATGCTGTAAAAATTGAGAAATGTCCCATCGTGCAAATCCCGAGGGCAAACCAAGCTGATCATGAGGCAGGTCAACCGCCAAACCGAGCTGACCTCGCCCACCAAAGCATTAGTCAATCACAACCCATATAAAATAAATTATACCAGGCTAGGGACTGGGGGCAACTGATGATATTCAAAATATGGCTAAGGTTGAGCTCGGACGCTCAACTCGGCATGTCTAGAATCACACAGTTCATGGTGAGCTGCCAGAGGTGTTTAGGTCAGTTTTCCCCAACGACAATGCCACCCAGCTAATAGCAAGGATGACAGTTGGTAATCACCAAGGTGTAATGCATAAATCACAACGGCCTTACGTGTGGGCCAAAGAATCGTAACCACTAAGGCACCACCACGGAGACTGCATAGCAGACGCATCCGTTACAAATTAAAGGCAAGGATCACGCCGAAAAATCAGATAAATTCCTAGAAGACTATAAATAAGAGGCATATCCCTCAAAACGAAGGACAAGTAACCAGTCTAAGCAAATATTTTGTTTAATCCTCCCTTTTATGAATAAAATCTTCCTAAGAGCAAGAGACTCCATTGAGAGTTGATTAGCCGAACTCCCGAACTGGTGAACCAGTATAAACTCCCCGTTTGCAATCCCCAATCTCGCTTGACCAATCTTGAAGAGCTAAGGAGCTCTGATTGGATCATCCAATGATTCCCTGACCATTGCGAATTATAACCCTATTCAATTGCGTTGCACACACCATCATTTAGTATCTCATTATTTTGATATGTGTGCATTCTTACTTGAGTTGATTGAGGTGAATTTTTTTTCAAATTTTCAATTCGAATTACACATGTAGATTTTTTTGAGTTTTATAGGTCAACTATGGGTAACCCATGCCTGAAGGCATGATCCAACGTAAGTGAGAAGTGATGATTTTTTTTTTGTTTTGGGCGAGGGTTATTCAATACGAATGTTTAGGGAGGGATGTTTGTGACATTTGGATGAGTCGATTTAAGATTGTGTTACCAAGACTACACAATCCTAACTACTTTGAAAAAAT